TTATAATGTGTTGTGACGTCCACGGCCTACCCCAGTTATCACTACTGCGCATGTGTGTCAAGGACAGAAAGGCAGATGTGGCAGTGGAAGGTGTCAAAGGAGTTAAGAGAGAAAAACAAAGTAAAAAAAAAACAAACAAAAAATGACTAATTGACAATTAAATTTGTTGTTGACTATTTTAATAATCGATTAGTCGTTGACTAGTCGACTAATCATGGCAGCCCTAACTTTGACTACAAAGGGACAGGTATGTTGTTAAGGAGGAGAGTTGAGCAAAGATCATTATCAGGCTAATTTACTTCACGCAGGAAATCTATGCGTGCATATCACTGAAGAGGTGCAATTCATTCAGCAGTGCTGCAGAGGAAAGCTTACCCCATGAAAACCTTTTACTAGCAGTCACRGCGTAACATTCTGAACATGTTCAGGCTATTTAAATGAGTTTGTTGGTACTCTGAAAATAAATGAAAATAAAAAAAAAAGATTTTCAGTACAACTGGTATACCGCCCAGCTTTATGTGAGAAGTTCGGTTCTCCAGAAGAGACTCAGAGCAGAGCTGCTGCTCTTCCACATTGAGAGGAGCCTGGACACCTCCCTAGGGAGGTGCTTCAAGCATGCCTGACAAGGAGGAGACCCCAAGGAAGACCTAGGATACGCTGGACAGACTACATCTCGCCACTGGCCTGAGAGTGCTTTGAAATTCYGCCCAGAAAAGATGGAATAAGTGGATAGGGAAAAAGAGATCTGGGCCTCCGTGCTCAAGCTGCTGTCCCCGCGACCCAACTCTGGATCAAGTGGTAGGTAATGGATGGATGGCAATCCAGTTTGGTCTTGATCCTTCTTAGACTAATCAGAATCGAACCATTTCTCCAAAGTATAAAATCGTTCACAACTTTTCCACAGATACCCACTTCAAAATAAGGTATTAAGTCTTACTTATGGGCTGGGAACTAGGGGTGTAAATCACCAGATTTATCACGGTACAATATTAMWTCGATATGTGTGGATGACGATTCGATATTTCTCGATATCGCAAAGTCTGTCACGATATGATTTCCATTCAGTTCAATTCAYGTTTGCGATCGATATAATACAATATCATATGCCCATCTAACACAATGACTGTGTTAGATGGGCATATGATATCGATCCACATCGAGCATATGATGACAATATAGATTGATATTTTCATTTTGCCTCGATATAACTGAATCACGAACCATTCAAATCGATATATCGATATAGATCGATGTATTGTTACACCSCTACTAGGAAATCAATTAATATGAGGGCTTAGGGTCAAGTGTTTGCAAAATGCAATGCCAGGATTGTGAATMTGCTGCATGTCAGTCCTACACACAAACCACCTCAAAACCCTCCTTTAAGACCTCACAAGTGACATGGACCTGAGCCCATATCTTTATTCTGTGGCAGACCAGCTGGTGGGTGAGTCAAAGAGGTCTGTGCACCCAAGCAGAAAACATTAGCAAATGGTGCTGGGCTGGCTGCTGTGCTACCACCAGAAGACAGGGCAGGCCACTCCAACTCAATAGTGTGGAAATGAGCGATGTGAGGTTTTCTCAAAACAAAAACAAACAGAAACCCACTCTTGAATTATTGAAATGTACTATTTAAGCATCCACACATCCATTTGTGTGTATGTGCACACTTCAGTATGTGTAGGGGTGCATCAATCTGCACACAACCCTGTGCACACGTGTGGGTGCCCCCCTCCAGACCAAGAACAGGATGCATAAACAGACCTCCCTTTCTATATCTCCATCCAGCCATGACCCACAGCGAAGGGCAGCAGACAGACGGGGCCATAGGACRGTGGGAGGCAGTTGGTCATTTTGTGTGTATGAGTGTTTGTGTATGTGTTGCGAGGGGCTGACACAATAGCGTTCCCCCACCCAACAGTTCCTCTCTGTTTTAAATAGTCATTTCACCATGCTTCCTTTCAATAGCATTTCCTAGTAAACACTAATTATCTCAAAAGGTGCAACTCTTGGACATAAACAATCTTGGCCTCCTTCGTCACCTCTATAAAACCAGTTACATTCAGAACTAAATTATCGTTTACATAATTTCTATGGCACAGCTAGCAGAAAAGCCTTAATGTGTCTAAAACATTACGACCACTTGTGCAAAATCGAATTGCCTCAAATAAARAATAACTTTTTTGGGGAAGACTTCAACCAAAACTCTCACCAACAACTAGGTCAAAAGGAAAAATAAAAAGGCAAAATTTAATATTGAGGGAAAAACAGAAAGACAGTGAAAAACGTTGTCAGCAAACTGCAAGACRCAGTCAAAACATAGCTTTCTGAGTTCACCTTCTTTTCTGATGCAAATGCACCAGAGGCAGCCATATTGTTTATTGTAGCTAGGCACAATATAGGACATCTGCCGGTTAGCGTTAGTGTAATACCCTCCCCATGCTTCATTAACTTCGCCCCTTCAAGGGCCCACAGAATGCAGTTGCGGAAGATGGGACGGTGGTGGCGGAGGAGAGTGGGCGAGACCCAAGCGCTGGCCCAGCTGAGGAGTGCCGAGGCTGGGGCAACCGGGCTGCTTGATGTCCTTCCAGCTCWTTTGATTCCTGGAGGAGGGCCTCTTTTATCAATGACCATGCGGTGGGTCTTGAGTCTGAGTGGGTGGTGGAGGATGGGAGGCTGAAGTGGACAGGCTGGGACAGTGTGGGGTGTCACCCTGCTAAGAATGAATGGTTTWAAAAAAGGTAAAGTAGGGCTGTTTTATTTCAATTTTTATGTTTCGTTTGGGGCCTGCAGCTAAATGAAACATCTTGGTTGAGGACGGAACATCTTTGCACCACCAAGGAGGTAGAAAATGTAAGAATATAATGAGAAGGGGGCAGTGATGTGATCTACAATAGGCTGTCATATATGGGGGACAGGGTCACTTTGAGGTCACTATGCGGTGCTCACTGTCCTAGAAATAACAAGGGATGGTGCTTCAGAGTGTTATAACTCCTTGTCCTTTTGTCCCTTTGAGAGTCCAGCTAAACGGATGTTAGGAGAAAGCAAAGGGAGGAGGGTGTCCTAATGGGTCAGCATGCTTCAAAGAAGAGTGTTTGATTGTGAAGAGTGTCCAAAGCATTCTTCTTCAACTCCTCCAACTTTGGGAGCTGTGAGGGTGTGAGAGGGGTGGACGACTGACAATTTGTGTAACTTTCCAAAACAGGCTAAACCATTTCACAATGTGCAAATAGAGACAAGTATGGAGTTAAGTAAGTAGGCAGGATTTGAGCCACTGTATTGTCTTTCCTCTCCTTGTACCATCGTCCTTCCTTCCCTTTTTCACAGTGATTGTGTTGTGAAAATCAAAACTTCTCCTGTAATAAAACCATAACAAAACACCCTACATTTCCCATAGGGGATACCTTTGTGGAGAGGTGTCCTGATGCTTTAAATAATAACGTGGTAAATTAAATGGTCTGAAACCAGAATAATTAGTATTAAAAACTAAGATGGACGAGTAATGTGCCAAAACTGCAGGTCCTCAAATAATTCTTGAGTCATCTCCAAAAACAAGTACATTTGCACTGAGATTGCATTAAAAGCTAAAACTGGTCATTCAGCTGCTTTTTACGCAAAATAAAAATACTCTGTTAAAACTTTTAAATGATTGGTTTATAATATGGGTGGTGCATAAATCCACAAGCAGGTTCAGTTTTATAAACTTACAAACAACAAATATGATTAATCATATCAGCAGTATCATCTGCATCACCTCAGGTATGATCCACCTGAATTACCTACATTTAAACGCTATCGTTCCACCTCGACACAAACTTTCAAACATAATCCTGGCCCGGAGGTTAAAAAAATCATCTGTTGCTACAGTACCACAACGTCTCCCAATCTAATTTGACACTTCAAAACTTCTGAGCCCACACCATTCAAGCACAGATATATCTCTTTTCAATATTGTTCACGGTACGTCTACAGACCTTAGGGTGAAACTCTGTAAAGAAATGTTTAAAAAGGGGATTTTTGTTGGAGAGGTTAAAATAAAAGGAAGACAATTACAGAGAAAAGAAAACTGGTAACACATCCGCTTCCGACCTTTGGGCAAAAGGTAAGTGGACACTCCTTGAATATWTTTCAAAAAACACAGAACATGAGTTAAAACTTGTTCTTGTCAGTAGAAATAGATGATAGGGGCAAAGTGAATAATCGTAGCTTTTCTAACACACAAAATAAGTATTTTTTTAATTGGTTCTCTTTCTCCATCTGCAACACCATTAAGTCGAAGGGCAGAGAGAAAATAGAGGAGGCAGAGAGCCTCTAATTTGGAGCCCATCTGTCACATGTGCTGCTTTCCCAAATACACTCATGCCTCTGATGTTGAAGGAACTACTTCATGTTTTATGTGTTTCTGGCCAAAACTCACTCAGAACCAGGGAGACACGGCTGTGTTCAACCAATGAGCAGTAGCCAAAGGCTTCTTTTCTACTTCAAACAGAAGCTGAGAACAGACCTTTAAATTAAACCCCTAAATGTTTTGAAATCTGTTCTAGCATTTAGTTTATGTATTCCTCATCAATGTTTCAACATGTCTTTTTGGAAGACTTAAAAAAAGAAAACATTTGCCTACCTGGGTGCCATAAGATGACAGCATTTACCTTGATGGTCTCAGGTGGTACTCCGGGGTCAGGAGCCTTCTCCAGGTAGGTAGTCAGGTCCTGATCCACGTGCTCAAAGACCAGAGTGAGTTTGGTTTCTCGGTCGGTCCGAGAGACCGTACAAACGTCAAACAACCTACAAGAAAGGACTAAGTGAGCCGGGACATTACAGAAGAACTGAGGAGGTTCACCATGCTTGGGATGGATGCACAGCACCCCAATATTTCTTGTTAACATTGTTTGCATCATTGTAATTGTTAAAATTTTTATTTACGTGCAACAGTTTGCTTAAAAAGTAAACATAAGATTACATAAATGCRTGCAAAGACGAGTATTGTGTTGAACTTTTCAATAAATGCAAGTGTTGGACAATATGGCTAACACATAAAAACAAATAAGAATTTTGACTTTTAACAGCAAACAACATGAAATACATCTGTACACAAATTTCATTGATAATGAAACTAGTATCCTTTAAAGGAATATGAGTTGTCCAAGTATTTGGCATTAAAGATCTCTTGTGCTACAACTCAAATTACCTGTTGAGGACAACTCTAAGATAGTACCAGRCCAAAGTCATGCTCAAAGTCTGTACAACTGACTGAGATATAGAAATGTTTTGCAAACAGACAGGCAAACAAATAATATACACTGCATTGCCAAAAGTATTTGCTCACCTGCCTTGACTCACATATGAGCTTAAGTGACATCCCATTCCTAATCTATAGTGTTCAATATGATGTTGGTCTACCCTTTGCAGCTGGAACAGCTTCACCTCTTCTGGGAAGGCTGTCCACAAGGTTTAGGTGTGTTTATGGGGATTTTTGATCATCCTTGCAGAAGCGCATTTGTGAGGTCACATACYGATGTTGGACAGAAGGCCTGGCTCTCAGTCTCCACTCTAAATTATCCCAAAGGTGATATCGGGTTGAGGTCAGGACTCTGTGCAGGCCAGTCAAGTTCATCCACACCAGACTCTGCCATCATGTCTTTATGGACCTTGCTTTGTGCACTGGTGGTGCACAGTCATTTGGATGGTTGAGCAAATAGTTTTGGCAATATAGTGTATGTACAATTAAGTTATAGAAATGTTTGTGTTTGCTAAGGTTAATTAGCTGTGGCAGTCATCTTGAATCAGGGTGGCTCCAAAAGTTATCCATGTGCACATTAATTATTACTTTTAGTTTCATAAAAAAATGCTCACACGTTTAAAAAATTAACAGCTTATAGAAAAAAYGTCTACACAAAACAAAGCATTTGTTCAAGTTTTTAACTTTACTTTGTTATAAGACAAGAAATCTTCAACTGTAATGAACCAAAAATTTGCAGCAATCTATCTGTAACCTCTGTTGCATTTTTTACTTTACAGATTCATAGAATTTACCCTTTAGAAAAACAATTGTGATCATCTAAAACATTTTGGACCATCAAGCTGTAACCACCATTGGTATTTATTGTGTTTCACTTAACAACCAACTGAGGCCAAGTATCCAGATCATGTCGGCAGACCTGCCAAGGCAAGCTTTGATGAAAAGGTGGAAAAAAAAGCACTATCCACTATTTTCTACTCAAAGAGTTGGGGGCTRTAAACAGCATTCCTCAATTGGCACTATGACAACTTCTGATCCACTAAAGAAAGTCTATTGAAGTGTGCATGTAGCTGCTGCGGGGGCAGCATCCTTCATCGTAACACAGGAGACGTAAAACCCCCTTGATGGATTTTACCTGATAGATGTTGTGGGTTCCTTTGACTTAACACAGCTAAACATGATATTATCCTCAAGAGTCTTGTTAAATCCCAATAATGACTTCCGCAGTGCATGCAGAAGAGCCAACAAATGTTAATCATTTTCTCTCCCTGTGTTTACAAATGTTATTGTCCCAATATAGTATAGTTAAAAGCATATACACAGAAAGGGATGGAATGGTTACACAAAAAAATTCCATTCCTTTCACCTACTAATAAAAACAGAACAAACAAGCCAAGCCCACCACTGCCCACATGGTACTCGCCTCAGCTCGTTACTTACACACCTTGACATCCGCCTCCACATTTGTGATTTAATCTACACAAGTTCATTTGAATTAAATATAGACATTTTTGTTTAAATTATTATTCATCATCTGTGTGGCTTTTAGACCTGGGCACTCGGGCTGTAGCCTTGGATGTTTTGTCATTCAGCTCTGTACTTTAGAATTCAAGGAAATTAAATTGAAACATGTTCAAGACGCCTGACTAATTTGAGGGAAAATCTGTTTCGCCTTTTTTTAACATGTTCAAAATTCCAGCAACAAGACTACAAGTTTTTGCAACCTACGAGACATTTGAGAAGCAACACATTTTGGAGCCTCAGTTTCAAATCAGTTTGTTGTTTAATCCTGCAGCTGGGTGGTCATACAAACCATATGTTATTTCTTGATCACATTACTGGTCAGTTTATATTTTCACATTTACCGTTTTGACTCCCCAATTTCCATTTCATTGGGGCATCGGGGTGGGCTGACTTTGACCACCCTCACCATTTTGGTCCATTCAGAAGTCCCACTGAGGTAGCCAGAAGGCATCCGAGTCCTGGACTGAGGTGACTTGTGAATGAGCTTCTTGTTTATATCCAATATGGCATCCGGTGTCTCTTGTAATCATTGGACTTGCTAAAGTCAAAAACATGATTTGTTCAATTTATAAGTGCTGGCCGTGGTGACACAGAGTAGTAGACACCCTCCTTCAGAAGAACTGGGGTTAAACGCCCCTCACAGCTTGATGGTTGGGCTTAAATGGGGGTTTCTCAGCAGAAGCTGAACATATGGAATAAATAATGGGCCCCATTACAAACATCCAGTGTTTGCCTGGAGTCACACAGAAGCTCCACATTTCACTTTTTCTGGTTGGATCTTCTTGGCTAAGTTGGCTGGACATGGTCTTTCACAATGTGAGTTTTGGGGGATTATTTTAAGAATGAAACAAAAGGAGCATTTTTACTTAACCATTAAATAAAACTGGCCTGTGACAACTTCAGTGTTCATTCATTGATGCATCTGGCCTTYGTGAGTATTGAAAGACCACTGTTCTCTTCCAGTTTTACAAATGTATTGGGGATTTTTTGTTAGGAGGCACAAGGGCACGTGCCCRATCTCTATTTAGGACTTCCAATAAAATCCCAAAGCACTCAGTATTCCACAATAAACGAGAACAAGGTCTGACCTTGGCCTGTGCAAGCATGACGCAGTTTCTGACAACTACCATGGGAAGAAATTCTTATCATTTCCTTACTTTTGTTTTTGGTCACATGTCAACTGCAAGCTTTTTTTTTCTTTTGGAAAAAGTTCTGCAAAATTTAAAGACTCTTGGGTTTGGATCAGTTCTCCTAATGTGTTCTGGTAAGTGCTACATCCTTTGGTTGACTGGAGTTCACTTTGCCAAATGGTGTATTTGCAGGGTCTAACACTTAAAGGCCATTGTCAAATTTAAGAGCTGAAAAGTAGAAAGTTGCTCTGTGCTCACCTAAATGTCTGWGTTTGAGGCTTGTTCCAGCAAACAGGATTCAGAACTGGTTTGGAGCCCGGTGCAGGTCTAACAGCCAACTTTGAAAAAGGTGTAACGTGGAAACTTGAGAACCACACTGTACACACTGAACTGATTTTTCCTCTGAAACAGGTGACATTTTGTTTCCAGCAGATTGGAAACGACAATTGATTTGTGCCCTAAATTCAGAATTTGGTTGATCAAAACAGCTTTGCAGAATTACAAACCAGATGTTTGCTTTATCATTTCACCTGCAGACAATACAAGATGGAACAATTGTTCAAAGATAAATGCTTTTAACCACCTTCAAACATACCAATAAAATGCAACAGCAGACAACGTTTTTGCCAGTGACTTTTGCCTCCAAAATATTTCATGAAAAATTCTAATGAAACTGAAGAAAAGCTGTGGCATGGAAGGTGGTGGATGACAAGCATTCCTTCGAAGAATGACAAGTCATTACCAAGCGTTGAAACGTCAGGTCGGATATAAACATAGGGATTCCAWGTAAAACACTACTATAAAAAATAAACTTTGTTTCCAAAGCCAATGATCTTTCAGACAAAAAGGTTGTAAATCAGTGCTGTTCAACCCTGGTTCTCGAGGTCTACACTTCTTCTTCTCTTTAGTTAATTTTTTGGCGGTTGGCAAACAACTGTAAGGTGCAATACCGCCACTTACTGATGTGGAGTGTGGACTG